TAGAAAATGTTTTACAAATTTAGAAATCAACATTAAACTCTAATATCGGTATTGAAAACATTAATAATAATTATTTATTATATGAACTCATAAAGTTTTTTTTCCATTTTAGTTTTCTTTTACAATTAGCTGTATTTTTACTTATATTTTTGAATATATTTTGGAAAACATTTTAAAGTTAATTTAAAAAAAAATCAATGTTTAACTGTAATATTAGAATAAAAAATTATGACAATAAACATTAATTACTTGAACTCATCAAGCTCTTCCTTTTTATTTTTTGTCTTACAATTAAATTCATTTTTTACTTTCCTGCATTGGAATTATATATTATTATAAAAGCTATTACAATATCTTCTGTTATAATTTTAACACTTAATGCATACCTCCAAGGTACAAATTTTTTTCTCAGTCCCACATGGCTATTTAAGCCAGAAAAAAGATAATTGGCTAAACGTTTTTGCATTGATTTTCTCGAGCTAAATCCACGGTCTTCCTGAACCTTCTGAAATTCATTGTATCAATGGTGGTAATTTAGATAGTAATTTTGTTCTTGAACTTGAAAAACATTACACATCTTTTCAGAAACGTTGGGCAATAAGGCCTGTTCAAGGAAAAACTTATGGAAAAAAAGTACATTCATCATTATATAGATGATGTGAAGCAAATGTATGATGATGGAAATGTAAGTGATCAAAAGAAAAATGGGTCCTGGTCACATGCTTGAGAAGTTGAAAATGAAATACCCCTCTTCATTGGATCTACCATCTTAGAGCGAGATTTATTTGGCAATGAGCAAAGAAAAATGAGCAGCAAATGGCCAACTTTCAACTCGTATATGTTTTCCAGATGTGCTTTCAAATATCATCAATGATATTCTTGATGTAAATGAAAACATTGCATCAAGGGCATGCTATGCAGTGGTCTTGGAAAGATACGAGATGATAAAGGAGGCAAACCCCATCGAAGAGTTCCCTGATGAGAAAAAATTAAAAGCAAGATCAGCCAAATCAAACAGAAAAAGAAGAAGGAAAGACAAGCAGCTGAAGTAGGAGCCCAAGGAGGTGTTTCATTATGAATTCTGTACTTGTTCTACAAAGGAAAGGCAAGCAGCTGAAGGAGGAGCCCAAGAAGGTGTTTCATTATGAATTCTGTACTTGTTCTACGAAGGAAAGGCAAGCAGCTTAAGGAGGAGCCCAAGGAGGTGTTTCATTATGAATTCTGTACTTGTTCTAAGAAGAAAAGGCAAGCAGATGAAGGAGGAGCCCAAAGATGTGTTTCATTATGAATTCTGTACTTGTTCTATGAATGAAAGGCAAGCAGCTGAAGGAGGAGCCCAAGAAGGTGTTTCATTATGAATTCTGTACTTGTTCTAATAAGGAAAGGCAAGCAGTTGAAGGAGGAGCTCAAGGAGGCATTTCATTATGAATTCTGTACTTGTTCTAAGAAGGAAAGGCAAGCAGTTGAAGGAGGAGCCCAAGAAGGTGTTTCATTATGAATTCTGTACTTGTTCTAATAAGGAAAGGCAAGCAGTTGAAGGAGGAGCTCAAGGAGGCATTTCATTATGAATTCTGTACTTGTTCTAAGAAGGAAAGGCAAGCAGTTGAAGGAGGAGCCCAAGAAGGTGTTTCATTATGAATTCTGTACTTGTTCTAATAAGGAAAGGCAAGCAGTTGAAGGAGGAGCTCAAGGAGGCATTTCATTATGAATTCTGTACTTGTTCTAAGAAGGAAAGGCAAGCAGCTGAAGGAGGAGCCCAAGGAGGTGTTTCATTATGAATTCTGTACTTGTTTAAAGGTCAAAATAAGTATTCATCCCCAAAAAACAACAAAATTGTAAAAGAATTGTCATTTATTAGCATTTATTTTCTTGAAAGAAAGAAGGAAAAAGCAAAAGAAGAAGAAAATAAAGAGAAAAACGGCTTGGAAAAGGGTGCAATTTTCCAGAAAATGTAGCCAAAATTTCAATTTTGAAATGATCATAAAACTTTGAGTATCTACACCTAAAAACAATAAACACACTCTTGAAAATATTTTCGCTGTTCTATTTTAGTTTTAAATGCCCAATTTCAGTGTTCAAATTCTGCAGAAAACGGCAATATATCAGGAAATTTTGCCACCCCGAGGTATGCATTACGTGTTAAAAATCAGTTGAATATTTTCTGAAAGGCTAACAGTGAAGTAATTAATTGAATGTAATGACCAGAAGAGAAGTTGGTTATCAATATAAAAGTAAAAAGAAAGGTTTAACAGAGATTTATCCAACGTAAAATTAATCATCATCTTTGTTTCTTACAGTTAGACAAACTGAATGCTTGTCGTATAATCGGAAATACTGATTAATTTTTCTTCTCAAAGTTATGTCTAAATAAATGTTTTCTATAAATTAATTATAATCTAGTAACAATATATGTATGGAGAATGTCTATCCTATTTCTAATATTACATGAAAACAACATTTTTATGTATATTTGGTCATCTCATTTACGTATTGCTTGATAAGCATTTTGACTTCTGTATATATTTAAGCTATGTTCAAATGTTCTTCTTGATAGATTTTGAAACATACAAAAAATTTATTCTCAAAGACGTATTCCTACGTGGTCAACTATATGAACCTGCAAATGATCAATTGTGAGGGTAAAGGCAGTTCATTTTGTTATGAATTTTGGGGTCTTTTCTTTGAACTGTGGTCCTGGATTTGGCTTTGTTAGCCTGTTGAGCTGAAGAAGTGCAATTTAATTTCATCATTTTCAAAATTTAAATGTGCTACAGGTAAAATGTGGGTTATTCCAGAATTGTAGTTGAGGGTTTTGATTGGACAAACTTTGGTGATGTCACATTCACTTTGTCTCCTCGATAACCAAGCAAACACAATGAGGAATTTCAGTCAGTGATTATGATTTCTGTGTGTGAGCAATACCAAGTGTGAGGCGCGTGTATACTTAATTTTATTTTATTACTCATAACGATCTCTATCAACCCGCCGTCAAATTAATTATATGTCCCAAGTAGCGCATAGTCCATTTTAACTATATATATATGGGTGGAATAATTTAAAAAAGACAAACTTGCTTGTCACAGCAGAAAGCTCTGTCGTTTTGTGCAAGTTGCATATTGATCGGTACTACAACAGCCGAGACATCGGCATGACAGATAGATGGATTTTCGTCTTTATATAGTAGATTATAGATTGAAAATAAATCTTTTCTGTACAAAATTTTATACGGTGAAGAACGGCAGTATGTTATTAACTTTGTATTCTTGGTCACTGTAATGCGTACACCTATTTAGTATAGATAAACAGGCCCGTAGAACTTCAAAACCTTTAGTAAATGGAGTAAAATTGTTTTCTTTGGATTTGACCAAATAAAGAGATTATATATATATTTTTTTTTGAAGTGGATAATACATTTTGGAAATAAATATTCTTCAAATGAAAAGGTACAGGTATCTATTTTTTTTACATCTGATTTCTATAGTTTGATTAGATATTTGCCAGTGATGAGTTAGGCTGCCATTTGGCAGATTTCCACCCTTTCTAATGTTAAGTTGGTCATCCATGAAATTTGTTCAAAGCTGAAGAGAAAACTGGTTGAAGAGATGTTAGGGCTAGAGCCAAAATACTAGTGTGCGAGTCTCTCTCCTTTTTCCTTGCTAATTAATGGTAAGGTGACCAATTGTAAAAAGTCTTTTGAAGCCAAATACACAAACTTCTTAAAATGCAGTAATGGTCATCTGAAAAGGATCGGCAGTGATATTTGAATTCTTTGCCCATTTATTAGACATTTTGCTTTAATTGGACATCATTTGCATGTATGATAACATCTAGATGGAGCCTAAATTGGACAGAAATAGAGATGATCTGATGATAGTTGGGGGAGCAGCGAAATGACATAATTCTTGAAATTTGTTTCTGTAAATATGGACTTTTTAGTACAAATGGAAATCATTAAACAATACAGATTTTAAAATGATTTTCAGACTCTTAAGTTATATAGTGTTATTATGTTACTTTGCATTGATCTTAGAATCTGGTTATGTATTATGACAGAATTTGTGGGTTTCATAAAA